AGGCTTGACTTCCTGGGTCTGGGTTGGTATGACTGTCATGCCCACCTTCTCTCAGGATCCTAGATGGGAGGGGAACCCTTCCATCCCCTCTACTTGAGCCCTCTGCCCCTCACCACTCCACAAGCTAACTCCCCCCAGGCTTACCTTCTTGCCCCCCTACACACACACACACACACACACACACACACCCCTTCTTCCAGTACTGTCCCATCCAGTGACTCAGCCCCAGGCCTGTGCCAAGCCTGGGGGAGCTGAGCATTCCTGGAATTGACAGAAAAATGGAGAAGTTGATGTGAGCCAGGCCCAGATATCATGGGGAGGACTTTGTGATCTAGGAAACAGAAACAAAAAATTCTTTCCATGGGTGGGGCTGGTGAGGAAACCTCTTCCTTGTAGACAGAAGGAGACCTGTTTCCTTTAAAAGTGATGTCTCCCTACTACCAAGTTGCCTTGAACCCCTCGCAGTCTGGATTGCATGGTTCAGAGTTCTTTTGAAGCCCAGGATTTGATGCTACCCCGGAGATAGCATCCAGTCTCCCAGTCTCAGATCCCCAGGGAGGCAGACACGTGACTTCAGCCTAAGATTAATCCTTCCTTGACCACAGCCAGAAAGGTATGACTAGGACTTTCAGGTTTATGGTTTTCGTTCATAAAATAAGTATTTATTAAGCATCTACTATACCCTGTGCCTGGTACCTGGGAAAATACGAAGACAGTCTCATGGTGCTCACAGCCTAATGTACAGTAATCACTGTACATGAAACTCTGGCTTCCCTTTGCGGGTCTCTAACCCTGGAGGACTGAATCTATCCCAGAGACCTGAGTTCAAATCCAGCCTCAGACACTTACTAGGGATGTGACCCTGGGCAAGTCACCTAACCCCATTACCTCAAAGAAAAAGAAATGAAGCAGCTGAAGAGATCAGATTTAGTGGAGGCTCTAAGACTATAGGTCTGCAACCATTCACTTTCAGCTTCCTTGTTTGTAAAAGGAGACTAATGATACCTACCTCACAGGATTGTTGTGGGGAATCAAATGAGAAAATTATGTAACGTGGCTTTGCAAACTTTTAAATGTCAGCTACCATCATCATTATTCTCATTATGCCCAGGCATTATTATTATCTCCTTTTTAATAGATGACAACACTGAGCTTCAGAGATTGAACATATAACTAGTGAATGGGAGATTGGAACTCAGGTCTCCTCATTTCAAATCTAGTGTTCTTTTTTATCCAGGTTGCCTGTGGAAATCCTTGTAAGGGGAAGGATGCCTCTATAATAATAATCATTTGTTGTTCAGTTGTTTCAGTCGTGTTTGTGACCCCATTTGGGGGTTTTCTTGGCAAAGATACTGGAGTGGTTTGTCATTTCC